TGCCCCACAGATGTGAGGTACAACGCGCAACAGCTTTCCTGAAAAAAAAAAACCAAACCATGGTACTTATGGTATGGCTCAGTAACAAGACCGACGAAAATGAGATCGAATCAATTAAATGTCTTGAAATTAATCAACATTGGTTAGTCCACCAAAAATTTGGGTACTGGATAGTCTGCGGTCAATGAGGCCACGACTTTCCTTTAAAATGTAATGAGAACCGTGTCGGCAGTTCGGATCGAAATCTTATGACCTGCAAGCTCACGACGTCTTTACCTAGCTGGCTACTGATGGACCTAAGGGTTGAATCGTTCGTCTCGTAAGCATTTCCAAGATGTTATAGACCATTACACAAAGTGTTTTTACTAGAGTTCTATCCACATGTCCTATGTGAAATATGTTAGGCTGCATTGAGTCAGTGTAAAATCTTTGCATACCCTTGGCTTAACGTTAAGGAAAAAACCCAAAGTTCTGTCTCCGTTAATGTTTTAGCCCACAGAAAATGGCCATAGAATTCAAATGCGAATGTAGAGAATTCGAACAAGACATGATTCTCATGAAAAATGAAGCTAAAGTTTTAAAGTGAAGGCGAGCATCTCTCTGTCATAATGTTCTACGAGGTGGATCGACGTAGATTAGGAGGATTCATGCCCTTACTATAGGCATGACTTCACTCGGTGTGCCAGTTGACCGATTTGACCATCCCTCCAAATTAGGGTTAACAAAAATATAGTTATATTAGAAGCTCCCACTGTCGGAATCGGGAAGCAAATTGGTGGTAGTGTATCATTGAGAGTATTAACTCCATTCAACTACAGTATGACGTTGGCTAGGGAAATTTCATCATCAAAGGAGATGAAGCAGAGCTTTTACTGAGTATGACATTAAAAGTGTGGAACATGCAAGAAGAATACAAAAGGCCAGACCATGACCTCAGCTAGGTTTGCCGACTAGCTCTATAGGACTTAGAGAGATTGATAGTGATAAGGCGTTCACGATGGATTCGAGTCACCCAGATTATGTCGAAAATTGAAAGAGATGAAGAATAGTGTGATGGAGAATCGGTGTTGCAAAAGTAACGAAAAGTTTTGTAGAAGTCGTTAAAAAGGGGATGGACGAGAGAAAGACCAGAAAAATAAAGTAGAATAGGTTTTCGGACGTGCTACGCAATGTGTGCCATTGCGTGCGTGTGGGTCCTGGTGCGAATAGCTGACTATAGTAAGCAAAAATGCCTTTTAAAATTCATTCACACATAAGTTAACAAAAACATCATAACCCGCAAAAATACCCACCTTTTTCATCCACTTGAGATAGAAAATTAGAAAAATGACCACAGCAGTAAAAGGAATAACAGAATAGGAGTAAAACATAATTTCATCACCAGACGATCGCTTGCTGAACGTGTGGGTCCTAGTGTGAATCGCGCAACCTGTATCGCCTTGACATTCGTCTGACAAATCATCGGTCGACGTGCGTGGACGTCAACGAATCCGGTTTCGGGGCTCATTGTGCACTATCTATTGAGTTTTTCGTCCCGACAGTGTCGATTGTGTTACCTTTGAGCCCCAGTTGGTAACTCTAGGAGGAATCGTAGGGACCATTTTTATCGTAAACTGGGCGTTTAAGGTTCTGTCTCATTCCTTACAGTAAATAATGTGCACCAGGGTCAATACGAGAGGGATTTTTGCCAGTCTCTCCTCCTTTTTCAAGATTAGATCTAATATTTAGAAGTAATCCGAAGGAGAGGTTGCTAAATAATTAATGATAACTAATTATAATTTTAATTGTGATATTGTGAATATATGCAGCAAAACGGAGGATAGAGAAGTCAAGGCCATCAGTCATAAGGGCGTTCCATTAAACCACAAGTTGTTTGAATGTCTCTACGATTTGAAAAGAAAGCAGAGCGCGTGGCGTAATCCACACGGATTAACGACGATATTGGTTTATAGTCAAGGTATCGGAAATGACTCACCAAAACAGCTTCCAACAATTGCTCGGAAGGTGTTTGCTGGACAAAGACCCTCCGCTCCTGTAATTATGCATATCACATATTAACTGACTGATTATTCAAATACATTTTCGAATGTTTTCCATAAATCAATAAAAAGGAGGACCACTACTGAAATAACAGGAACGCTAAAACAATAGATTGCGTGGATAAGCGGTGCTAGAGGGGAAATTGCTGATGTGACAAGAAAAAGTGTGGATCGGAGAGGCTACGAGACATGAAAAAACCGAGATATCTGGTTTCCTGTCGATCCCTGTCACCACAACTTCTCCCGGGACCATATGTTTACCCTCGCGCCATCAAACTCTTTGACTCCATCTTTTCATTATTTGCTTCATTTTCACGTGGGCATACTCTTACAAAGCTTCACCTCCATTTCACACCACTCCGGGAGAATACCGGTGAAAACCACCTACTCGGTAATCTCCCTACAATTATTTACTACCAATTTGCATGTATTCCCAGAAAATGAAGAATTCCTGGGTAGACCTGCCCAGATGCTGAAGCTCAAGAATAATGTACTTTGTGATAAACATTATGTGTCACGTCATGCGGGGCGGATGTGGGAGGACAGCAAGTGGCGCCGCTAACGCAAATATGGTCCAGCGACCGAATCTCGAATCCCACAATGCACGCACAGGCAAAAGCTTCCGAGATCAGTGAAGGTTGACAGATGCAAACATTTCATTTGAAATCATGTGGTTTGATTTTTATTTAATTTCCAACTTCTTCAAGTTAACCCTGAATATTTTACAAATCGATATCCCGGATCGATATCTGCCTAGGCCAACCAAGCTTTCCACCCCTCTGGGGTTGGTTAATTGGAACCAGACTCATGTGGGAGGGTAAAAGCACTGACTTGTTCATCGACTGGCCATTATCTAGGCCACATACACATTCAGCACGTCACTACGATTCTGAATGAAAGTCGAGTGCGTGGGCGCATCCACCAGACGAGATTGTTTAACACCCCAAGACTTTATCCTTATTTTATGAATCAGTTTTCTGATCTATACAGTGTTACCTTGTCATGAATAACCCTATCGTTCGTGTAACCCAAAATAAAGGGCAAGCTCCAAGTTGTGGACATTAAGCAGTAATTTGTGGATTGCACCCCGCCATCGACTCCCATTCAAAATCGTAGTGGTATAAATCACTGCTTTTATTATTTCAGACCAGTCTGGTACCAGCTAACTGACCACGGTGAATCAGAGGGATTGGTTGGCCTGGGTGAATATCGATTCTGATTCTACCGCTGGACGATAGTGCGCCACTACACTATCTTCCCCCTAGGACCCGAAATAAATTACCATTCCGATTGGAAGTAATTACATAGCGCATTTCATGGTGTGATTGATCAAAAAGGATAATTCTGGTCTACAAGTTATACAAAAAATGGAACCAACTGCCTTACCAGCCATTTATGCTGATACTTGAATTCACGAAGTTTATCGGCAGATAGCGGTGCCGTCTTGAGGGAAGGATCAGATAGCCATGGATGTTCCAATGCCTCGTCGACGGTCATTCTTTCCCTGAAATTTAAATTCTTATTCGCTATGAGTTTTTTGCTAGGCTCCAGATAAGGTTTTCCTCAATGAAATTGTAAAAGTGCAGTGGTCTAGCAGCCATTGCAGCCATCCTATTAGGCCCAGTTTTTGCCTGAACCTCTATCCATAATGACGAAGGGCTAGAGATCACTTTTGGGTGTTCGCCAACATCTTGTGTTTACAAACAATACGCTACGTCAGAGTAACAACTCCAGTTTTATGTTTGTAGATATTTTTATGGCAAAACACCATTGCTTGGAGAGCCCTACCTTGCGGATGATCTTAACACAACCAACTACATTCGATTAGGAATTCGGTGCAATGCTTACCCTGGGATTTCCAAAAGAAGATGTTTGACGAAATCAGCTGCTTCGGGTGTGAATGCACGCCATTCATCGCCCTTCATAGAATAAGCACAATTGCTTACATTTGCCAGTGTTTCGGTGTCATTATCACCGTGGAACGGAGAGATGCCAGTTAGTCTGAAAATTACTCCAATTACTCTGATTACATTGAATCTTCTTTCAAAAAATAGTTATTTCCATTTTCGAGAGGAAATTTAAGTAGAAGAATAGAAGTGATACACTTTGAAGGTAGATGGAAAAGTTTTAAAGAGCGTTCATATTCTCAATCCAAGCACGAAGTTCAATGCTCCCTCGCCCACATCCCAGCTTCTTCACCTCCTCACCCTTAGCATCATCTCCTTGAATCCCTAAACTTAGTAAGGAAGCGAGATAATTGAAAGGGCAGGATATTTTACAATACAAGTTCAGGTAGTTATGTTTATTTACTAATTATTTATCTATTGACTGATTACAATATTTTTTCACCTGCGGAATTGTGAGCAGTCTTCTGATCCATCTTGAAATCTTTATTGTAATAATAATACTACGTACCCTAAGAGCCCAAAACTTCAGGATCAAATTTTACTGTCTCCCCCCCACCTTTCTAAAGGGTTCTATCGGGGACTCAGCCTATAAAGTAAATTGTGAGGGTAAGACCTACACTTTTAGCCGTATGGAGACGTCATACTCATGAGATATAGTCAATTCTGTAGGCGCCTTTTTTACCCATTCGTTCAGCATAGAAAAGAGCTTTCGGATATTCGAAGGTCCAGACCTTCTATAGCGAGCATTAGGACAGAAGCCAATAAGGCCCTACGCACATTCAGTTGCAGAAAATCGAAAAAGGTACTGTAATTACTTACAATACATAGGTCAGAGTACCAGCACTCCACATATCCGTTGCCAATGTTAGGGGATATCCACGAACAATTTCTGGTGATACGAATTCTGGCGATCCTGTAAGCGAGGATTACTGGTTTCAAGAATGGTTTCTTTAGGACTCAAGGGATTAAGTGAGCTTCTGATTTTGGAGACCAGCCGTTTACCAAAGCCAATTGTTGTTCGTGATGTGAAAAAGGGCTTGGTATTACATTGATATGCCTAACCAAGATGACGAAAAATGAAAAAAACTGAAGAATCACTTACCTTGAATTTTTCCGGTGATCAGCCCACGTAGTAGTCTCCTGAAAGTAATACTCTCTAGTACTTCAACGCTACTGACTCTATCGAAGCCAGTTTTGCTACTCGATTCGATAGTATCGGTCGCTTCCACGTCATGGATTGAGAAGAATGCCTGGACTTTTTTTTCAATTTCAGAAATCACTTATGTATGTGCTCTAAATAACCCAGAGCCATAGTACAAGCGCTCTTCAGAATGATTTGAAGACGTTCCTAGTTAGAAACGCTCCCATACATTTTTACATAGTAACCCAAAACTAACAAGTAGTACTACAATAGATTCTTGGGGCCAGTTCTATTCGATGCTAACTGTTGACAAACATGTATAAGCTTATGTACCGTAAACAGCCTAATAATTTGAGTCTCACCTTGATTGCCCAAAATCGGCTAGTTTCAACTTGTTGTCCTGCAGAAGGATCGTCTCCGGTCGGAGATCGAGATGAGCAATACGCATGTCATGAAGGTGCTTGAGCGCAAGCAGTAACTGCCTAAAGTGTAACTGTTGAAGAGTGGAACTATGACTGCACGAATGGAAACCGTTCGAGCTCACGCACCGTACGAATATCTGCACCATACGTTCGCGATCCTCTCCAACCGGCTCTCCGACGCTTACACCCGGATGAGCGAACGAATCCAGGAGAGCACCCGTGGCACTAAATCAGTCAAATATTAAGTTGTTTACTCGTACCACACAATAACACCCTATTTGGGTCGCAAGTTCCCCCAAGAAAAAAGAGCTACTGACTTTTCATGATTTTATGATTTCAAATTCGTCTAGGAGGATCAAGTTTTTGGTGTTGATCAATCCCGTCTGAGGGATGTGCCCAGTCGATGTACAAGTCAGCGTATTCTTCAACAGACGAGTCTATTACCAATTGGCCGACCCCGGAGGGATGGAAAGCTCGGTTAGCCTAGGCGGATAAGGATCCGGGATTCGAACCCCTGTCCCTGCCTGTGAGATGCCACTGCCACTACACCACCTCCGCCCCTAAATTCCTCCGTCTTACTAGTATGTAAACCAATAAATAATCACGGCGGATAGGAAGTAAGTGATAAGATCAGGCGGAGTCCAAGGCTAAGCCTATCCGCCCTTTTCGTCGTTGCGCAACCACCAATTCCCATTTCTACGCACTAAATTTCTAGTGGGGAAGAGGAAACTCTTATGGCGTTGTTCAATCTTGTTTAAGGATGCATCATATCCTCAATCTCCTTAAAAATCGCAGCCGGGATTCGATTTCTGGACTATGCTTGTGATAGCGTGCCTCACTAGCAACTACATCAGCTCCTACGTACTCCAGCTTAGCAGCAGTAAATGCTAATTTCTGAAAGCCGAAATAATCAGAGATTGGAGGGGAACGAATGCTGTCTTGTTCACCAAGCTGCGCAAGGGTATATCATGACAACGGAACGTGCCACTCTCCGGACAACTAGTTCAGAAATCGGATCGATCAGTTCGGTTCGAATCGTTGCCAGGTTTTTCGAATTTTCCCAGGCCATTTAAACAGTTGCACTGTTGGGAAATTGCTTTCCGATTGAAACTTTCAACAGCCTCTCCAGTGAACGATCTTTGGGTACATTACACTGTAGCACAAAGAGCAATTAATGGGTTTTTAGGTGCGACGCCGACGCCAACAGTCGATCGCTGGCGAGTCCGCAAACACTGTAGAAATCCGTTAAAGAATCCACAAAAGATTCTAACGAAAAAGATTGATACAGTCCTTTCGAGCAGCACTCTATCGACTTCAAATCTGTTTAATAGGCAGTAATTCATTCTCCATATCGCTACCAATTTGAAAAACTCTCGGAGAGACTATCAGAGATTCCAGCTATGCAAACACCAACATCAAACTCGTCTTCGGATAAGCCCGATTCTCTGATGTTGTAAAGCTCTGTGATCGCNGTTCTCAAAGCAATAGACCCTCTGGATCATAATCCTTGACAGAAAAACTTCAAAAAGAAAAGGGATTCCCAAAGAAATTGGAAATGGGAAATATTACAGCACAAAGCGAATATGTGAACAGGTCGGGAGTTCACAAAAGTGTCAGTGCTTTTCGCCGAAACATCTTCAAAGTAACAACAACCAACAACACTATCATTTTGCATTTTTTAACAATATAAGCTCGATTTCCATTTGAAATATCACCCTGTAAGATTCAGGTTTCGATATTCGCGCCTATGAAGACCGGGTCTACAGATTCCTTCCGGAACCCTACCTGTCGAGCCATCCTAAGTGATGCCAAGATGTGGGAGTGGGATTCACATTCGAATTTATTTAGATATGACGGCCAACACGGCAGAATAAGGTAGTGCTGTGCAGCAGATGATATAGTAGCAACAAACAGGAGCGCATTCAAAATATTAGTCTGCGATGTGCTCGTCATCCTCAGGAATGAGGCCTCATTTTTGCGAATACTCAGTGACTTCTTACAATTTTATTTTACCACTTAGTTGACTTGGTTGGTATCTGCACTTTATATTCCATCCCCACTCTGAGCACCAGGTCATTACTCCTGAACCATTAACCAAGCTTGCCGTTGATGATTTCAAGATCAATTGGACCCCATCACTTTATCCATGAAACTTTTTAAAATAGAGCACGCCATGGAAAACGAACATCTCCACACATTTTGCATTACAAAATAACTCATTACCTCCCCACCTTTGTATTTTCAATATAAGCTCATCCGGAAAGCAATTCTGACAGAAAGTTGGCAGAAATTCTGCCAATTTTTTGCTTTTTTTCTTCAAGAAGCAGCATGGACAAGGGAGATTCATTCTTTTTGGAAAAATCAAGAAGTTCAGAGTTCTCCACTTTTGCTAGAAACACCCAAGATATATGCGCATCCCACTTTTCATCCTTTGTGGAGATGCAAAATTCGCAAAGGAGTAAAGTTCATTGCCTCAGATGTGATGTGAATGAGAAAGAAAACTATCTTCGATGGCTTATGAGCCTGGCTTTTATCAGACTCCCCGGAGCAGTGAAGAGATTGGTTAACCTTAGCAATTATCGATCTGATGAATAACTCACTGATTAAACTACATCAATAATTGACTAATTCTTATAATCAATTGATTGATTGCCTCAAGTTTTGTCAATTCACAAAGGAAGAAAGCTTTCAGGCAAACTGAACAACTAAGTGGTTACAGTAAATAAACATTAAGCGAGGAAAGCTCAACTCTAAAAGAAAAGCCAACTCACAGTTCTGCAATATACTCGTATACCATCTTCGGAGCGTACCAGTCAATAAGGGAATATGTGGATCAAGTGCAGGAGGAATATTGTTTAAAGTGATTCGATTTTGAGCAAATTAGGGCTCAAATATGTCGAGGACTGAACCGTAGTAGAAACATGGAAAAGGCAGTAGTTAATTGGTACGTTCTCGCCTCATCCGCTGATCCATGGCATCTAACGAGAGTGTGTAAGGGCAGGCGGCAGGTGGTAGAGCAGAGAGCGTGCGCTATTAGACGAGAAGGGTCCCGAAAAAATTCCCGGACCCGAAAAAACAGGTGTTGTTGTAATGAGACAGCATGGAGGTTCGTTTTAAAGGTGCACGATAGCCTTTACACTACACCACTGAATGACCTCATTTGCAAACAGAAAAGGTTTTAGGGATCGTTCACGAAAGATTTACGCGGTAGTAAGTGGATTACCGAGGATACTGAAGAAATGTAAGACGTCGAACTGCTCTTGAAGCAATAGAGCTTCTTTTTTTTGGAAGTAAATGGTCTCTGATACCTCTTCGTCCCAGACGGGGGCATCTGCGGTCCATAGCGCTGTGTTACTTGATTATTTATAGACTTACTGAAGTAACTTGATGACTAAGCTGCTGTAAAGTATTACAAAAACGCATTCAGACTTGTTGTTATAGATTATGTTGAAGACAAAGGCTGATTCGAATGCCCATATAAATTTTTCAATTATTCATGGGATTTCCAGACGGATGATGATCAGCAGCAAACATCATTTGCTCAGGTCTGGGTGCCTTATAAGGAATAGATATTGTCTCCACTGCAGGATAGAGCAAATGGATGAGGTTTTCTTGTTTTACCCTAATCTTGGCCTCGTTCTTAAGATAGGAGGGCCTGAAGGTGACTCCAACTTTAACCCGGGAAGTGCCTCGCCCCCAGGAAGACTCAGCAGTGATGGACATACATTAACCGAAGGTCCCATAGGCGTAGTGGACAATATCAAGGCTCAGGCTCTCGGTAATTGTCAGCCTATGCATAGGTGAATGAGATCATTACCGGTAGTATTTAGACCCTTAAAGGAGGCGAAAATGGTCTAGAAGTAGAGATACTCCCCAGCAGTGACGGAAA